ACACCAGCATCTCACTTGTATTCCCATTGAGTTTTATTCTCAAGTGGTCTTGTAACGTCATACAAAAAAAATTTTGAACACTATGCAAAGAGCTTCATTGACCAGAAATTCGGGCAGAAACCACAGGAAAGGATGAATGTGTTATCAAATGTTTTATGAACCAGCGATTATGGTGCTGAACCAATGTTGCGATCATACGGTTTCCATTTATTGATCCAAGATGAAGTCTGTCTTCTTCAACCCCAAGATTAGAAGTGATATATGATGAAGATTTCTTTCCACAGAAGGAGAGCTGAAATTTTAACAACAAGAAACTATTTGAGCCAACTAAGATCAAACAATAGGTTGTTGTTAAACATCTCTACATGATATGGTTTGAGTTACTTTGTTCGAGATCTAATTAGATGTGGAGACATGAAAGGAATTAGGATAAATCTTCTTTATGATCTATTTCAAGAGTCAAATCAGAACAGACTCTACTCTCCTAATTAATCTCTGCTGAGTCAGACATATCTACATCTACATTCTTCAAAGATGATAGATTATCTTTTCAAAGATGATAGATTCTCTCTTCAAAGATGATAGATTCTCTTTTTAAAGATGATAGATTCTCTTTTTAAAGATGATAGATTCTCTTTTCAAAGATGAAAGTTTTATCGGATTTCTGCACAAGTCCAAGCAAAGAAAGTTGGTTTTATCCAAGACAAAATGGGGCATCAAAGTCATAATTCTGACTACGGCAAGAGTTCCATAAATGAAACATTTCTTCTGAGACTTTCATGAAGCAAAGAAGACACGAAGATACAAATATGCAGATTGATCAGATGATTTTTCAGAAATGAAAGCTTGATAGCATAAGTTGCTACACTCCAGAGGTAACCATGGAAATAAATGATGAGGTGAAGGAAGACCGAGTTCACCACTTTAAAAGTCAAATGAAGATTCCATCAACATTCATCCATTCATAAGAACATCATTTGCACAATAGACAATGCATTACATTGATACATTTGATTGCATTCAAACATAAGGTTTTTTTCAGATTTTCGTATGAAAAGAAGATTCATGATGGAAAATACCTTACAAGAAGAAGATAGAATTCAAAACCTCAAATGCAAGAATCATGCAAACATCTGAAGGAGAGATGGACGAAATCCACAAGAATGAGCATTATCTTGAGATTGGGGCATGTTACCCAATCAACATGTTATTTTGAAAAATAATGAGAAAACGATTTTCATAGTTTCTCATTCAATCTTTTCTAAAAATGAAATTGTTGAATAATAAGAAAATGATTTTCATAGTTTCTTACTTAGTAAACTATTTCTCACATCTGTAAGTCCTACAGTGCATGATGTTTCCAAAAAGCCTTCGGGAGCTTTTTGATGTTTTCAAAACCTTCGGGTCAGCTGTAAGCCCTACAGTGCAGAATGTTTTTTTCTTAAAACATTTCCAGAAGGGTTCATAATGAGAAGAACACATTTGAAGAAAGAAGAAGAAGTTCATAATGAGAAGAACTTGTTCAACTTTTTGCTCGAATTCATCGCTCGATGGATCAGCATTGACAGGTCGAGTTCATAATAAGAAGAACTCATCTGAAGAAGGAGAAGAAGTTCATAATAAGAAGAACTTGTTCAACTTTTTGCTTGAATTCATCACTCGATGGATCAACATTGCCGGAAGAGTTCATAATGAGAAGAACTCATCTGAAGAGGAAGAAGAAGTTCATAATGAGAAGAACTTGTTCAACTTTTTACTTGAATTCATCATTCGATGGATCAACATTGCCAGGTAGAGTTTATAATGAGAAGAACTCATCTGAAGAAGGAAGAATAAGTTCATAATGAGAAGAACTTATTCAACTTTTTGCTCGAATTCATCATTCGATAGATCAACATTGCCAGGTAGAGTTCATAATGAGAAGAACTCATCTGAAGAATGAAGAATAAGTTCATAATGAGAAAAACTTGTTCAACCTTTTGTTTGACTCCATTTCAGAAAGAGATAGAGCAGTAGAGCCATTTCCAGAAAGAGTTCATAATGAGAAGAACTCATCTGAAGAGGAAGAAGAAGTTCATAATGAGAAGAATTTGTTCGACCTTAGTTTGATTCATCACCTATGGAGTTGAATGAAAGAAGAACCTCACTTGAGGATCAACATTTTCAGAGGAAGTTTATAATGAGAAGAATTCATTTGAAGAGGAAGAAGAAGTTCATAATGAGAAGAACTTGTTCAACATTGCCTTAATTCATCACATATGAAGTTGAATCAACAACACCTCTTTTGAGGGTCAGCATTTCCAGAAGGAGTTCATAATGAGAATAACTCATCTGAAGAGGAAGAAGAAGTTCATAATGAGAAGAACTTGTTCAACTTTTTGCTAGATTTCATCACAGAAGAAGATGAAATATCATTCCCAGTAGAAGAGTTCATAATGAGAAGAACTAGTCCCAAAGAAGAAGAAATTCATAATCTGAAGAACTTATTCAACTTTTTGCTCAACTCATCATAGAGGGAAATATATCAACATCAACATTGTTCAACCATTTGTCAAATCCATCACAGAAGGAGGTGGATCGTCATTCCCAGTAGAAGAGTTCATAATGAGAAGAACTCGTCCGAAGTGAGCAAAAAGTTCATAATGAGAAGAACTTATAGCTCAGGAGTTTAAACATTTCAAGCTAAAAATGGTGTTTTTATGTCTTTGCTCCATTCCTGTTCCACAGCAACGAGCAAAGAGGGGAAGCTGTAATCACCATTTTTACCTCTCCATTCCAGCAGCTCCACGTTGCATTTCCAGCAATTTCCAGCAGCTGCAACAGCCCCTCCACACAGTATTTCCAGTAGCTTCCAGCGACAGCAGCCCATCCACGTTGAAGCTATAGGGTGAGTCACCACCATAGTTTGGTGACTCACCAAACTCCCCCCTTATTACCCGGTCCATGGAGAGCTTTGTGGTGGCTATAAAAGCCACCACCGAGCCTGCAAAAAAAAGGAAGGGAGGAGGATAATCGACCGAACTGCGAAAGAGACGAAAAAAGGAGACATCCAACAGCAACCAAACTACCAAAATATCGAAACAAAAAAAATACCAGAAGCCTTACCAAAGAAGCTGCGACGCCACCGGAGTCCATACACCACCGTAGAAACAAAAATACCGAAGGTATTTTTTTGTAGATCTATGTAAATAAAAGGTGTTTTGTGGGAAAAGGGGTTTAGATTCGGTATTAGATCGTCTCGATCTATGTTTTGAGAGATTTTAGTATTTTCCGATCGCCGGTGACGGTGGCCGGCGGTAGGGTTGATGGCGGTGATCGACGTCGGATTCCCTCCGGTGAGGGAATCCTAGAGAGGGAACAGAGAGAATTCTCATCTCTCTCAAATAGAGAGAGAATGAGAAATTAGAAATGAATAAAATGGACTTAATACCATCTGAAATAGAGTTTAAATACCCTCACCAAAACAATGTAGTTTTAGTGAGGGTCTTTGGGTAATTTTGAATATGGTTTAATTCTTCCCGCCACCTTGTAACTTTGTAACCTTATATTTTAATCACTTAAATAAAACTTCGAACATTTTAAATTAGTCTCTTAATTTTATTTAACTTATAATTTAGTCATTAACATAATATATATATATATATATAAAACTATTAACCGATTTAGTGCTTTAATTTTAATAATTAATATTTTAATCCCAAAAGCATGTTTTAATTTATTTTAATTTAATATTCGAATTTAAATATATGTTTATTTTAGTCACTAAATTTATAAATAGGTAAAATATCATGTTTAGCCCCTGTATCATTAAATAATTAATTGTGAATTAGGTTATTTAATTTTAATATGTTATAATTTAGCCATTTTCATTTATTTTAATTACAAGTTTTATTACTTTTATGTTTTAATATTATAGTTTTAATTTTATTTATTTTAGTCACTATTTAGTTATATTTTAATTTAAATATTAATTATTATTATTAATATATATTATAAATTATTTTAATCTTGTTTTAATATTTATTTATTTTTCAATATTAAGAAAGGACAGTCTTAAAACAACTGGATGTTCATTTTCTGATATTTTTAAATAAATAAATATATTATTTTTATAAATTATATATATATATATATTAATTATTATAAAACTCTTTTAATTATTTATTTATTTTTTAATATTGAAGAAAAGAGCTGTCTTAAAGCACCTAGAAGTCTTTTTCTGATATTTCTAAATAAATAAATATCTTATTTATAAATATAAATTAATAAAATTTATTAAATTTATAGTATTATTTTTGAAATAACAAGATTATAAATTTAATATATCTTTGAATTTTTAAAATTCTAATAATAGAGACAATTTATAATTAATAAGTACCAATTTTGGGCATTATAGGGGTGCTAATCCTTCCCTAAATGTAAACGACCACGAATCATTTCTTTACTAAAATTTTTGGTTATACGCAGATCAGTTTATCTTTTAAATTAGGTTTTCTTAAAAATTATTTTAAAAGATAATTTTTAGGTATTTGATCTACCTAACCCAAAAAGGTCAATGGCGACTCTCAAAATATTTTTAAATCAAAATCATTTTTTATCCACATTATTTTTCCCGTCAAGTAAAAAATTCGTGCCGGGACGAAAATCAGTTACGATAATATGTGTGATTGCAGTTGGCGGCAAGAATTGTCGTTTCAAATTTACATAAAAATACTAGGAAGTCATTCTCTGAGACGTAAGTTCTTTCCATTTCATTTAATTATCCTTATTTCTTTGTTGAAAGGGAGGCAATTGGTGTTTAGAGACTGTGGTTTATAAATGTAGGGTTAAAATCATGTACAATCATTTCAATGAGAGATCTGGACTGAAGGCTCCTTTGATTGCTGATGATGTTTGTGAAATCATCATGAAGGTAATATGGGGTATATATGTTCTTTGGGCTCGTGATCTATTTTATGCTCTTTGGGTGCCTGATCTTTTTATGCAAAGGGTTCAAAGTAATGGACAATGGTCATTATTTTGTCCTAATGAAGCTCCAGGACTGGCAGATTGCTGGGGTGAAGAATTTGAGAAGCTTTATATTCATTATGAAAGAGAGGTTAATACTGTCTTTTCTCTCATTAATGCTGTTATATTTTTTTCTACCAAGTAGATTTCATTTCTAAATGTTTTAAATATTTAGGGCAAGTCAAAGAAGGGTTGTCCAAGCACAAAAATTGTGGTTTGAGATCCTGAAATCCCAGATAGAAACTGGGACCCCTTGCATGTTATTTAAGGTGATTTGTCCAAGCAAGCTTTATATTATATGGGGTATATATGTTCCTAGTTGAGTATTGTGTTCTTAGCCCTTTGTTTCCCACACTTTTGTTACAGGATACTTGCAATAGAAAAAGCAACCAGCAAAATCTTGGCACCATTAAGTCTTCAAATTTGTGTACTGAGATAATTGAGTACACAAGTCCAACAGAAACTGCTGTTTGCAATCTGGCATCTATTGCACTACCAAGATATGTGAGGGAAAAGGTAGGTTGCATATGGTTCTTATTTTGTACATAGTTGCTCTATTTGAGTCTGCGTGTTAATTTAGTTAACCGGTTGACCTTTTATCTGCTTCAGGTGGTTCCACTGGAGTCTCATCCATCAAGGCTTGTTGGTAGTAGAGGTTCCCATAATAGATATTTTGACTTTGACAAGCTGGCAGAGGCTTGATTCTTTACCTTGCTAGTCACTCATTCATCTATTGCTAGATGATGTCTCATCCATCTTTGCGTATCACTTTGATTCTTTGTGTATCTATTGCTAGATGATGTCTCTGTTGGTGCTTGATATCACTGATATTATTTGTTAACAATGATTGTGATGCCCTTTTTTTGGGCTGTTGTGACAGGTTACTGAGATTGTTACAAGAAATCTTAACAAAATAATTGATGTAAATTACTACCCAGTTGAAACTGCCAAAAGATCAAACTTACGTCATAGGCCTATTGGTATTGGAGTTCAGGGGCTTGCAGATACTTTCATCTTACTAGGCATGACCTTTGATTCACCTGAGGTATTTTGAACACAAATCTGATATACCTTTCGAACTGAATTTGTTGTCTGATAGTTTAGTGGTTTTGAATTTCAGGCTCAGCAACTGAACAAGGACATATTTGAGACCATATATTATCATGCTCTAAAAGCTTCTTCTACTATAGCTGAGAAAGAGGGAACCTATGAGACATATAATGGGAGTCCTGTGAGTAAGGTATGTGATATTAGTATCTTTAAATGCATGCAAGTATTTTGGTTATTCCATTTCAACGTGATTGCAATATCTTGCTTACCTGTTTTGCTCGCTTTTGTTAAATTGTAGGGTATTCTTCAGCCAGATATGTGGGGTGTTACTCCTTCAAATCGGTGGGACTGGAATGCTCTTAGGGACAGCATAGCTAAGAATGGAGTGAGAAATTCACTTTTGGTAGCACCTATGTCAACTGCTTCAACTAGCCAGATCCTTGGAAACAATGAATGCTTTGAACCATATACTTCCAATATCTACAGCCGTAGAGTTCTGAGGTATATCCTGGCTTCCTCTTTACATATCTTACCATTTATTTGTTGTCCACTGCTTAAAATTATTTCTTGTTTTCATTCAGTGGGGAGTTTGTGGTGGTGAATAAGCATCTTCTTAATGACTTAACCGAGATGGGTCTTTGGACGCCTGTCATTAAGAACAAGATCATACATGCCGACGGTTCAGTTCAAAATATTCCAGAAATACCTCATGAACTGAAAGCAATATACAGGTTTGAATTTATGTTTTTCTCTTGATCTTCCTTTCAATCCTAACTCCCATTTTGCTTCCTTTCATCGTCTCTTTAGTGTGAAGTTAACATCTCTTTCTGGTTTACTAGGACTGTTTGGGAAATCAAGCAAAAAACCTTGGTTGACATGGCCGTCGATCGGGGATGCTACATAGATCAGAGCCAAAGTTTAAATATACATATGGACCAACCAAAGTTTAAATATGCCTGGTCCAAGGTATTAAAACTTGATGTTTATTTTGATTAAACAAATGTAAATGGCAGTAGTTGAATAATGGTTGCCGATTCATTGTTTTTGCTAATGCTCTTCACTCTATATATAGGGTCTCAAGACAGGAATGTATTATTTAAGATCCCGTGCTGCAGCTGATGCAATTAAATTCACCTGTTGATACATCAATGCTTACGGTAACGTGTACTTATCCATGTTGAAGTTGCATTAGCATCAAGAAAATCACTAAGTTTATGAGTTCTACTGATATTAAATTGTGCTATTTTCTGGTAATAATATAGGAAAAGCCAAAAGTAGAAGATGATGAAACAAAAATGGCACAAATGGTATGTTCCCTTACTAACCGAGAAGAGTGCATGGCTTGTGGGAGTTAGGAGTGTAGTGGTTCCTTTTTGAAGCTTGCAATAAAGGGAATTTGGTGCTCAGGATTTGGATTTTTATAATCGTAGCAATATCTAAGTCACGTGATTTCGTTGTGTAGCTTTAATTTTGATGTGTACCAATGGCAGGTTATGCATGGAAACCTACTTATTCTCATTAATTATTTTATCTAATAATAACCAATGAATTCCAAGCCTTTCTCTCTAAATGTGGGCAAAGGTTTAACAAAGCCTGAATCCTTTTACTGAAATTCTGCCTTTCAGAAATGGGCTTAGCCCATAAATCCTATTTGCTTTGAAATAGTGATTTGTTTATATATTTTTGGGTTTAATGCTATAGGAGGTTTTTAATTTAAAATAAATTAATATGGTCATCGAATTATTTTTTTTATTCAAAGTGATAAACTCAAGGAAAAGTCCAATGTGTTTAAAAAATGTATGCAAAAAATTACAAAAAAATATTTTAAAAGATTAATTTATTTGAGTTCAAAATTGAAAAGAATTTAAAGTTTTATAAGGGAGTTGATAAATAAATTAGAAAAGGTAGATTCCGAATTTAATTATTTTTCTTTAAAAAATGGAAACTAGTTTGGAGGCATTGTGGAAGTCAACTTAAAATTGAGTCATTAACATCTTTCTCATAGTGTCAATATCATTTTCTGGGCTATATATAGTTAACAGGCTATATGAGCATGGGGATATCCTACGGTACTGACTCTACTCTTGGGAAAATGGGACCAATTGTTAAAAGGGTTTCGATTTATTTATTTTTTTAGATTTATGTAATAATCAACGATGAATTAAAGTTAATGATCGAGTATTAATTTAATTAATGTCATTGTTGTTATTTTTTAGATATATGTAATAATCAACGATGAATTAAAGTTAATGATCGAGTATTAATTTAATTAATGTCATTGTTGTAATATTCAAGACGGTGTGAGTTTGAGTGTATTGTAAGATAATTACTTTCTACTTAAGAATTGGGGTCGATTCAAACTTTATGCCGACATTTAATTGAGAACAAATTACAATACTTAAATTACTTTTATTGTTCATATAAAATAAATTAGTTTTAAGATTTTTATTTTTCATATAAAAAACTTTATGCCGACATTTTTTTTGTTAAAGGAACCAACTTCAAAAATTTTAAGAAGAGATAACTTTAAAATTCTAAGCGACTAAAATAAATTATCAATTGAAAATACATTAAAAAGTTAATAATTTAACTTTTTAACATTAAACCTCTTGCAAAATTGAAGGAAAAAGGATATAAATATTAATATAACCCATCAAATTTAATATAAATTTATTATAAAAGCAATCTTTTTAATCTAATTTGATTTATTTAAAATGTTATAATTCAAATTTTAAGTGACGTATAAGAATCTAACATTTTATTAAATAAATACGTTCGTTGCGCACCGAGTATGGACATAGAATTGATATTCTTTTGTCTAATGATTTTAGGACTCGATGCGCAAACAACTTGAACCGTACTTACTACCATTATTTAATCACAGTACCCATCTTAAAAATACCATAATTTAGTATTCTTTTTCATCTGGACAAAAAGAATCTTACATGTATTTGCAAATTGCAGGTTGGTGGGATTGGATCGACTTCTTTTTTAATATATATATATATATATATATATTGGGGTTAATGTGGTCTGAAACTGAGTTGTAACATTTCTTATTGTACCGACTTCCATGAATTTTTTGGGCACACAAGTGATGAATGCCCCTAGACATTATCATCATCATACGTTTTCACTGTTCAAATTTCGGTGCAGAGTAAATTACAATTCCATTCATGTTCTCACATAAAATAATTGCATGCTAAGTCCATATGTTTGATAAACTTGAAATTTAGCACTAATAGATTGTTAGAAACGCAACACATTGATTGCTAAAATCATTATATAATAATTAATACTTGATTCAAGCACCTTAACTCTTACGTACATATATCATCTAATGATTTATTTAATAAATGATGCATTTTGTTTTGGGTTGGAACAATAAAATAATGATTATAGACGATGACATAGCTTTAAAAAAGTAGCGTTCTTGTTTAATCTAACAATTTATTCCATTTTATCCAAATTCCAAATTATAATAATGTGTTCCACTCACATTTGGTTATTTGCACAAGGAACCCCCCACTAGTTGTTCTTTTCAAAGCAACCCTCCAGTTTTAATTAATGACAATTAATTTCTTCCACTTGTTAATTATATACGGGCATACCTTCTTATATATATATAAAACTACTATTATATATTATCATAACTGTAAAGAATGGTGTATTTTTAAAATTTCTAGAAATATGATTACAATTATATAATAAGAAATATACATATGATTTTATGTTAAGAGGCATAGTTTTAAAATTTTAAAAGGAACGACTTATAAAATTATAGGAAACAAAAATATATTATCAATAAAAAATATAAAAAAAAAATTAATTATATAGCAACGTAAAATTTTCAGAAAGTAACCGTTCTGAAAGCAACTCTCCATTCATCCCTAATTATAAAATAACAACATGAATAATTATAAACCTCATGATTTTAAATTATATTTATTGGCCCTAAAAGAAGATATCATTTGAACATACATTTTAGTTGATATTAATTGTTTGGAATTTGATTTTGAAATTGAGTGGGCGATCATCCAATAAGATGCCAACAAATAAACATAGATGGTCAAGGGTCGGTTCATGTTCACATATCCATTTTCGAGGGAGTTAATTGAACACTATTCATGAAATGATGGCTTAAAAGAATAAAAACCAAAACAATGTCGACCGAACTCTGTTCAGACAAGTTGATGAAACTGAGGATGGTCCCACAGTCCCCACCTTATCTATTCAACTAATAACCGCGTCTTACTGATTATTATCTTTGACTTGGGTCAACATTTGACAATGCATCCAAGGCCACCACGGCCGTTCTCCCCAATCAGAAAATGCCACATCATCTATCACAAACAGTTGACATTTTTATTTTTTAAAGAACCAAAAGAGAGTGCTGAAAAACTCACTATACATTTTCCGACTCCTTTATGCTTATTTGTACTGCCAAGTTTTTTCTCCTTCAAGAAATAGGATTTGAGCACGCGGGGTTTATTGGAATTGAATAATTGGACCAAATTGAAAGGATCTAGGAATCAGTTTAACAATAATGCGAATATTTTTGCACCGAAAAATAAAGCCTTTTGCAAGTGTTCGATCTACTTAATACGAATAGAAGAAACCAAATTTCAACTTTTTCGTTTTAAAAGTTGCATTCCCATCAGAATTAAGATATATTTCTCCTCACTTAATTTATAACCCTCTAAACATCATAAATAAAAAAGTTCGAACAACAATATCCATAACATATGTGTATGTTGAACATATATTATCTTATAATTATCTCGTACTGTTCAAAAAAAGTTTTCAACTAATCAAACTTAACCTTAATAATCTAAAATAAATTCTTATTAGGCCCCAAACTCAATAAGATCCAGTGGACTTCATAGTTTCCTTTCATGTCCGCTAAAATAATAAATTCTTTTAGGAAAAAAAATCACATGACCAAAACCGGCCGGTTCAAATGTTCACTTTCACACTTAAATAAAAACTAATTTGACTTGCCTTACTCAATTTGGCCACTTGCCCTATTGTTATTTGTTTTCAAAGGAACAAAATTCGAATATTTCTTTCTTTCTTTTTTTATATAAAATTATCTGTAAGCCTATAAAAGAAGCAGCTTTTATATTACAACGGATTGTCCTTTGTTTCATGGCCAGTGTCCGACACACTTTCTCGTATAGCCTTTATAAAGACTCTTTTCTTGGTGTTGAACTGTAGGAAAAGAAAAATGGATTTGTAAATTACTGTTTTTACATTCTTTCATGTGTGAGATAAACAAAAAGGTGGCGAACAAGAAAGGGAGAGTCATCGACCAAGACAATAAAGGATTCTATATGTATCAGACGATGATGATGGGAGAAGAAGATTCGTCGTCTTCATTGATGCCATCGGAGGTTTGTAGGGAAAGGGAGATGTCGGTTATGGTATCAGCTTTGACTCGTGTCGTGGCAGGCGATGTGCCTGCAGATGATGAGGAGATTTCAGGAAATAAAAACTCGGATGGTTTTGGTTCAAGTAATATCGGACGGTGGTCTAATAATATCAATCCTTCAGTCGGATTTGGTGGGCAAAAGAGAGGAAGGGAAGAAGAGGTAGGTGGTGCTACCGGTGGTAGTGGCGGAGGGGTGGCGGTTGCGTCTGTTGCTAAATTTTGCACGCAGTTTGGCAACTTCCCACATGGAGGCTCATCTGCTGCAGCACAATTGGTCCCAACCTACGAATACAGCAGCAACGACAATTACAAAGAAGAGCCGAGGAGGAGATACAGGGGAGTGAGACAGAGGCCATGGGGCAAGTGGGCAGCTGAGATACGTGACCCTTTCAAAGCAGCTAGAGTTTGGTTAGGCACATTCGACACGGCGGAGGATGCAGCCAGGGCCTACGATGAAGCAGCTCTCCGGTTCAGAGGCAACAAAGCCAAGCTCAACTTCCCTGAAAACGTCAAACTCATAACACCTCCTCCACCCCATCAAACAACGACAAATTTCCCTATTTCTAATCCCTCAAACACCCATTTCTCCGTTCCAACAGCAACCGACCCAATCGTTCACTCTCAGTCTCATTACAAGGTCCCCAATCCTCGAGCTGCCGGAGGATACCCGGACTATTCTCAGCTTATCTTGGGTCCTTTCAACACTGATTTTCCAATACAGCAACGGCAGCAAAACCATCCCATGTATCCATACGACCAAATAATTTTGTCAGGTTCTCATGCACAATCGTCATCATTGTCTTCTTCTTCAGCACCGCCATCATATCCAATTGTTTTTCCCATCCAAACTACGGGTTATCAGCTCAACTTGGGTAACAATATCGGAGATTTGTCAGTGAATTCTTGGTCACTAGATTCTACTCATCACACTTCAACCTCTAAATAGTACATTGTCATAATTTTATTTTTGGCGTTTTTAGTCATTTTATTGCGCTATAATTGTAATTATTGTTTTTTTACTCTACTTTATTAGGGGTTCGATAGCTTATTGCGAACTTAATTGTTTTAGGAATTAGCGGTTTTCTTCTTGTTATGAAGAAGTTTCATGTCGGATGTATAAGCACATTCTACATATTAAGAAAACAGTTTAATGAAATACATTTAAAAGATACCTTCTTGATTTTGATCCCAAAGAGTTTGTCAATCAAATACAAATTTTAATTAAATTAACTTTAAAAATATATTATTAATTAAAAATATTATTTTTATGGTCGTGAGATCGAGTCACACGGTGGACAATTCATAATTGCTGGAGGTATTCCACGAAAGTTGCTCTCAACCTATCATTAGGGGCAGCCTACTACCCTACCTCCCCTTACCCCATTACATATAGGAATATGGCCAGCCAATTTATTTAAGTTTGTAGTGTTATAACAAAATGTATCACTTTATTTTTAATTGATATTAAATTTTAGATTGGATTTTAAATAATCTTTTCTTTTTGAGTTTCATACAATCTAGAAATTAGAAAACTTGAACTTTAGAGTTTAGACTGATTCTTATGAAGGAGAGTCAACTGGACCTTGGATTGTTTAGAGGGACATTGACAGGTTTCAGATCATTGTTTTTTCTTTTTGTCTACTGTGCCACGTGCGTCTAATGAAACAGTAGACAGTGTTGTGTTCCGACTATGGAGCATTGCTACAAAGCAATTGTACTTTTTTAGGCAGGGTTTTCATAATCGGATCGGTTAGCGAACCGATCATATTATCGGTTGGTTGAATCGGTCGAATCGGTCTGATCGGTCGAAAGAACGGGACGACTTCATAATTATTTAAAAAATTAAATAAAAATACTAAAAATATTTAATAAAAAATAATTTTGTATATCACAAGTCATTCAAAGCAAGTCATAATATATAAGAGTTAAAAACCATAAAATCAAGTGAAACAAAATGATTCAAATTAACTATAATATAATATTTAAGATAAAACATATTAAATAATAAATATAATTATATAACTATAATTAAAAAATAAATTTGAGGCTAAAAAAATCATAACAAAATGATATTGTTTGGTTTAATTTTTTTAAAAACAATCTCACATGGCTAAGAAACATAGAAGAACATCCCAAAAGTCTAAAAAATAAAAATATGAGAACAAAACAATCCACATGGCTAAGAAACATAGAAGAGCATCCCAACTAACTTCTATAAATAATAGAGGTAATTTGACATTCAAAATCATGGAGCCTTTTGGTGAGCATAGAGTGAACTATTCTTTCACTTCAATCAAGCTCGAATTTTAGGCTTCAATCGAGCTTCTAATTTTTTTTTGAGTTCAAGCCTTTTCGAGTTCAAGTTTCAATATTATATTTCGAGTTCGAGTTGAACTTGATAATTTTTAGTTAGTGAGTTTGAGTCGAGTTGAGCTTACTTTTAAAGTTTGAGTCAAGCTCAGCAATACTCGAGTTCGACTTGGCTCGTTTAACAAACGACGTCGTTTGGTTTAATTTTTAAAAAAAAAAACAAAATTGGCGGTTTTTTCCGGTTTTCAGCCGGTCCGGTTCGAACGGTTCAACGGTTCCGACCAGTTCACTAATAACGGTTCAACCGGTTTAGTTTGAACCGGACTAGACAACGGTTCCCGGTTGAACCGGTTGAACCGGCTGGTCCGGTCCGATTTTCAAAACAATGTTTTTAGGCATAATGAAAAAATTACATTCAACGTTTATATAAATTATTATTTTATCTTTATTTTTTAAGTATTTTATTTTTAATATTTTAATTTTTTGTCAAAATAAATCCTATTAAATGAAAATTATTAATTGTATAACGATCAATTAATGTTACTTACGTAACATTTTCATATGTATTTTATTGTGCCACATCATCTATTTAAGTGATGTACTACGTGTTACACTATTACTTTGGATAATCTATGGTATGTCACGTAATATACTATATTATCACTTTGAGTGACGTAACATATATTACATCATTAATTGAACATGTAAAAATGCCACGTTAACAATATGAGTTAATCGTTAGTTAACTGATGATTTTCATCTAACATGATATGTTTTGACCAAAATTTAAAATGACGAGATAATATACCCTACAAAATTAATAAAGACAAACAGTGACGGATCTAGAAATATTTTTGAATGTGGACACATATATACTAATAATAAAAAGTTTACATATGGAGTAGGACAAATAAAATTTCAGGGTGAACTCTATCAGTAAAATTAACAACTAATATAAAGAACTTCATATTTTTCAGGTTTGGCACTTGCCCATCCTAGCTTCCATGTACATCCACCACTATAGATAAATGATCATTTATATAAACGTGGAGGGCAACTTTTTTTTTCATTTTGCCTTTTTTTTATTAAATGTGGAGTGTGAAAGAGAGTTATTATTGCTAGAGATATTCAATCCACCGGTTTGATTAATCATTGAACGGAATTACTTAAAATTAACCATATTAATAATTTTTTTTGGAAAATAGTATAAAAATAAATACAATATTTTTATAACATTCGGTGAATCAGAAGTTATTGCAAAATCACACAGGCCCGTAAAAGAAGGTACAAATCTAATAAGCCCAAAATGATCGGGTGACCTAAGTTTTACACCAATCCCTCAAATCTTAACCGTCCATACTCTACACCCGTAAATGCGAAACCCTATCTCATAGAAACGGCTACAAACCCTAACTGCAGTCCTCTTTATAAACCCTTGTACTGCCCTTTTCGTCTCATCAGCCTCCCCATAACAAATCGCTGCTCAATGTTTTTCTCTTCTTATTCTTTCAAATTGTTGACTTGTTTGTATTTCTGTAAATTGTCTTGATTTGTTTGGTTGTAACGAAATTTGTCTATGATGATAAATCCGAAAGGCTTGTTTCTCAGAAATATTCGCAGTGGCCGCCTGAGAGCTTTCGCCTTCCGCCGGGCTTGATAGCTTCTGCTGTTTAGCTCATTCCTTGGATGTCTGAGACTCTTTTTTATCAACTCCTTGTTATTTCCATGTTTAATTTTCAAAATGACAATTCATTGTTGATGATGACAAATCTACAGGCTTGTTTCTCAAAGCATTCGCAGTGGCCGCCTAAGAGCTTTCGCCTTTCGCCGGGCTTGAGAGCTTCTGCTGCTTTAATCCTTGGATGTCTGAAACTTTAAAAAAGTTTTTTTTTTCAGAAAATAATTTTAGTTGCTTTAATCCTTAACAATATCTGAATCTTAAATCTGAGTTAAAAACATTGTAGTTTCTCCCCCAAGTAGAATTGTTAAATAAAAGTACCTATTTTGACCGTAATAATTTAATCTCTTTTAGACTCAAAAGCTATATTTTCGTGTCTTTTTTCTCCCGTTTTATGATTACATGAATCTTTGGTTGTGATTGTCGTAATATTTTTTTGTTATACAATGAGATGTACTAACAGTCCCAATTGGCTAGATAAGCTTCGCATCTCTTCTTTAACACCTTTTCTAGATCAATTGCAAAAGAGAAAATAATCTCAGTGACCGAAAATGTCTTGTAATATACGATTTTGACAAATTTTTTTTTGGATTTGCCAAAATGACCAAGTAAATCGCAATGCGATCGATAATTCGCAACGCGATCTCCGGTATCGCAAATCAGTTTCCAGATTCGCAACGATTCATTCCAAATTGTTGCGATAGTCGAAGTTCGCGTTGCGATTTATTCCAAATCGTTGCGATAGGCAAAGTTCGCGTTGCGATTCATTCCAATTCGTTGTGATAGGCGAAGTTCGCGTTGCGATTCATTCTAATTCGTTGCGATAGGCGAAGTTCGCGTTGCGATTCATTCCAAATTCGTTGCGATAGGTGAAGTTCGCGTTGTGATTCATTCAAAATTCGTTGTGATAGGCGAAGTTCGCGTTGCGATTCATTCAAAATTCGTTGCGATAGTTCAAATATTGCATTTGTTTCTTAAGATTTTTCCCTAAAAAGATAGAATTCGCGCGGACGTGTCGAAGACACGTATTACCACGACCACGACCCCGACCCGACCCGAGACGGGATGGGACGGCGGCGGCGGCGCGCGAGAGTCCCCCTTGTTCTCTATCACTCAACAAGGAAGTGGGAAAACCAAGCCTTAAATATCATTCCCAATAGTGTTTCCAATATTATGTGGGATTGCGCATTACCAACACTTGTTTCCAATACCATTATCTTCATTGTCTGTAAGAGTTTAATTTTGAAACTAAAAAAATATTTATTCGAATAAATAACTTACCCTTTGAAGACTTTGATGGAAGAAAAATATTAACCAAACAAATGCAAAGGAGACAATGATGGAAGTTTTCAACTGGGGATGCTACGAAAACTAGCTGATAATGACACAAAGGAAACATATCGAGTTGTTTGGTCATCATCTACTCTTTGCAAGTAAGTCATTTGAACACTATAAGAACCCGAATCAGAGTTAGTTTTAGCAATTACTTCATTTATGATCAAAGTCCTCAAAGGGTAAGTTATTTATTCGAATAAATATTTTTTTAGTTTCAAAATTAAACTCTTACAACAATGAAGGTAATGGTATTGGAAACAAGTGTTGGTAATGCTCAATCCCACATAGTATTGGAAACACTATTGGGAATGGTATTTAAGGCTTGGCTTTCCCACTTCCTTGTTGAGTGATAGAGAACAAGAGGGACTCGCGCGCCGTCGCCGCCGCCGCCGCCGCCGTCCCGTCCCGTCCCGTCCCGTCCCGTCCCGTCCCGTCTCTGGTCGTGGTCGTGGTCGTGGTCGTGGTAATACGTGTCTTCGACACGTCCGCGCGAATTCTATCTTTTTAAAGAAAATTCTTAAGAAGCAAATGCAATATTTGGACTATCGCAACGAATTTGGAATGAATCGCAACGCGAACTTCGCCTGTCGCAACGAATTTGGAATGAATCGCAACGCGAACTT